GTGTCACCCTGTAGAGACTAAATTGTACATAGAGATTACAGATACATTTTTCGCATTATCATGCTTTATCAACATTCTACGCTGTACTTAAGAGAATAATGGAAAGTTAACTCTAAACGCACAGTGAATTGTTGACTTTTTTTTTTTTTTTTTTTTTTTTTTTTTTTTTTTTTTTTTTTTTTTTTTTTTTTTTTTTTTTTTTTNTGGGCCACATAAATTCATTAGACAGGCCAGATCTGGCCCACAGACCATATGTTGGCCATGTCTGATATAGATGAATTGTGTGTATGTCTTAATGCCATTTAGTGGTCATCAGAAAAACTATTTCCTTAGAAATTTGAAATACATCAATTGTTTACAACCACTCATGCTTGATTTGCAGTTTAGTGGCTGTATTTTGCAAGATGATTTTGAGTGTCTTATTCAGTATATGTGAGTAAAGTTACAAATGTGTCATGTAATTAGTTGTGTTTTATTTTGCAGTTAAGGACAAATATCTAAGACTACAGGTTTTTCATTTTACTTCTCTCTGTAACAATTTACTGTACATATAGTGGCGGATTTCTGCACAGGCACACGAGGCGCACATCTGGGCCTCAAAATTCAGCTCTCAAAATAAAAAATAATTAATTAAAATAATTTTTTTTATTTTCTATTAAAAATAATTAATAATTTAGCAGTATTCCCTAAATTAAATTATCCTTAATTATTTACCAGACAATAGTGAAATCTATTATAATAATTTACAAATAAATTTTTATTATTCATAGATTACTAGATTTTTGAAATACATATCAGTAGTAAATTTAAAAATAAATTATTTTTTATACCCATGGATTACTAATTTTTTTTTTTAACACTTACCTATTGAAACTTAATAATTCTTGTACCAATAAGTTTCAGTTTTCATAATTAATACAATCTGAACATCGGTAATCTTTCAAATACAGCCAAGCAGTTGTAATTTTATATTGATTAATTTTCAATGTTATTTTCTTATGTCTCACTTTTTTTGGATCGCTGGTATAGTGCCTACCAGAGTAAAAACGTGTGCATAGAATGACATTGTATTGTGTGTAGGGGTAGTGAAAATATTTAGAGGGGAACCTCAAAATTGAATTGCGCCTGGGACCTTTCAAGTGCTAAATCTGCCACTGTGTACATAAGATTAAACAATCCATACAAATTGAAGTCCACAGTTCTCAACAATGACAGAAATATTGCTTAATATCCCAGAAATCAGAAACTGCTTCCACTGTTTGCCTAGCTTTAGTCAATTTTTCTTTATGCTCAGTAGAATGCTGATTTTCACTTTATACTCAGTGAAAACCAATCATTGCACATAAAAGAAACTGTATTCACACTGTAAATGTTAAAGCCTTGCCTCATCCTTTTATCATAAGTAATTCTCTACAATTGTTGGAATATCTTAGCAATATTTCATTAGTCAATGAGGAATACATGACTGTTTTGGACTTTTGAGCTCTCTTCCCATTTGTTAAGCTGACTCCTAATTCTTGCTGAATTAAGGATTTCTTCCTCACCAATGTTGGAACTGTACATAGATATCAGCAACATATTTTAAAACTTGCACATCTTGTTTTGTTACTCTTTTTTTCTTATGACAACAAAGTATACATTCAAGGCAAGGGTGTTCCCATGGGCAGTTCCATTTTTGGAATCCTTGGTGAGCTTGTCATTTACTGCCTGGAAAACAGTGCTACAAAAAAACCAGATCTGCAAAATTTTCTCCAAAGGGTCAGTGACAATCTTTATGGTCTGCTCTTACAATTAGAACAGGATAGTGAAACATTGATACAATTCTGAACATTTCTATTGCTTGCAGAGGTGATAAGCCCATTACCAATATATATTATAAACCCACATATTAACCAATTTTCGTCTCTCACAACTTAGTGGACTCCAATTACTTAACCTCTCTGCATTTATGTCAAGCTTTGTATTAAATGACACTGACTTGTCCTGACAAGACACGTCAATGTCATTTGATACAAAGAGCATTTACACACTGCACTAGTACTCTGGATGTCATAACTGAGACCAATTTTATCGTAAACATTGCGAAACAAGCATGGCTAGCCAATCACATTAATTAATACAGTGATTAATCACCAGTGTTCAGACATCAGTCAGTGACTATAAGAGAAGGCTTACTCTAAACAGCTTCCCTACCTTAAAAAGATACGTACGGAGGTTGCCAAATGTAACAACTGAAGCCTAGTATCATGAAGATTTTATGAAAGAATAAGCTATATTATGATTATACTAATTTCTCTGTGATTTATTCCATCCTGATAGAAGACCACTAGTTTAACAGGAAACTCACATGCTACCAGGTAAAACCTACACCAAAGGATTAAAGAGCATGGGTGTTAAATCCTAAAAGTACCAAAGCTGGAACAGAGTTTAATTCACTAAAAACTCACTTTTGAGCACTTTTTTTTTTTACAAATGCAAATGTTTGTCAAAGGGAAAAAACTGCTGGAAAAGTGCTTAAAGGTATGTGTTTAGTAATGTTGACAAGAAACTCTGCAATAAAGGTTTGGCAACTTATGCTAACCTACAGGAAGTATAAGTTAATTGGGATGAGGCTATGATTATCAGATCAGACCAAAGACCGCAATTCTCTTAAATACTTGGATGTATTAGAAATTTATAAAGCTAACAGTAAATATGGCTGCATAAACTACTGTAATACTGACATTTTATCACTACAATGTATTGATTTTGTGTTTATTCCTAATTTGTGTTGATTTTTTTTTTTCCATTATATTTAAATTTTGTGTGCTCTATCTTATGTTTTAAATTTTATCTTGTTCTTTTTTATTTGAATTTGTGTATATTCGATAGTTCAACAACTGATGAAGACTTATCAATTTAGGTCAAAAACATTTTTGATTTATTATACTTGTTGTTGTTGTTTATAAGTTGTAAATTTTGTTTTAATATAAGTGCTGTCACACTGAATGTAAAGACAAGTCAGAGTCTTAAACCTCAACAAGAATTTGCAAAAAATACAAAGGCATAACAAGGCACATCGACACTAAAATTTGTTATTGGAGAAACCCAGCAATTTACAGACTCCTCAGAAATGGGGCGTGGTGGACAAATCCCTGTTTAACGTCTTATTATATGAAAGTAAAGCAAAAGCCTGGAAAAATATGCTAACAATGCATTACATACTAAAGTTTGTGGTTAGTGTGCCAGGCCTGGACTCATGTAGGCAAAAATAAAATATTGTTACTAAAGATCAAATGTCGAAAGAATTACTATAATATAAAAAATTCTGTTTATTAGTAAACCCCAAATATGTATAATTCAATAATGTAGAAAATCTTTGTAAAATAAAAAAACCAAACCAAAACAAATATGTACGAAACCTTCCTGACAATTTGGGAACTTAAATCAAATTAGAACTATCTTAATTCTATCTCCACACAACCAACAAGAAAGATAGGAATCAATTCTATAGAAAAATTACAATGAATTTTACAAATTTATCTATATGTCACCAAAACTCTGTTACTGGAACTGGAACTTGGAAACCTTTAATCGATTACTCGATTCTTTGCACTACCTTGTTTGAATCTAAGCTTCACCTCATCTGAGTCATCTCTTTGTCTCCTTTTTATGTGACAGGCATGATTATGTTACAATGTATCTTTCCATTTGCCCTATTTACATACTTGCACAGTAACATTTTATTTGTTCTAGTAGTCAGTTTTTTTACTCATGTCATCTCCCTCACAATTTTATAATACTTTTTTGTGTTGTCCAGTAATAATTTGGAGTGGGAAATCATTCTTTTAACTTTCTATGAAAGTCTCTTACCCCGAGATATCATTTTGGGATGATGACATCATTTTTTTTTCATTCACAGTTGTTGTAAGATTAGCTTTTAACTTTTAGAATTTTGTCCAGGGAGGTGTGATAGTCTACCCTTAACAAAATAAAATGCTTCAAAATAAATAGAATAAATAACTAAAAATAATCCCTAAACAAAATAGAATGGTTTGGAATTTGACCTCCTTACACCTGGAGTATGTGGCATTCTTATCAGGAATAATAGGTTCAACAAAGATTTAGAGCACATTGGAGCTACGTCATTGTGGTTTGGCGCAGGGAGGCCTGCGTAGTACCAAAATTGCCACTTGGCAATATTTTTATAAAAGTGGTAATAAAAGTATAATACTTGTGATAAAAAATCTAGTCTGCTTATTTTTCGACATTTGGCATGAAATTGAATCACTCAGCACACTTTATGAAAAACAGCAGAATGTTGAACTCCTGTGCATCACACACCTAGCAATGTCATGTTGTCATGCTGCAAGTTCAGACAGGAAAGCAAGAAGTGATGTTGAGAACTGAAGGTAGTTTTCATGCAATGCCACCCAATGTTTCCAGACTGGGGATTTTTTATAGACTGACAGAAAATTACAGGGGATTTTTGGGGTGAAATTTTTTCACTTTCATCTTTCTTCAGGGAACTAAAGCATAAGAATTTTGGCATGATAGAACATGTGTAATATTGTTTAAGCATTACTAAAAGACTCATTATGACACCTTGTGAACGTGCAGCCCAAGTTTGTTACTTCCAAATGTTTTCAGTCATGTTAAATGACCTTTCTCAAGAAAAAGAAAAAACAAAATAAAAAATAAGTGGTCAAAAAAGATATAATTAAAAAATATTCAGAAACCCTGTTCGTTTTTTTGCATTTGTACTAAGCGTTTGATTTTTATAGTCTTTTTTAACCACTTGTTTTTTATTTTGTTTTTTCTGTTTCTTGAGAAAGGTCATTTAACATGACCAAAAACATTTGGAAGTAATAAACTTGGGCTGCACGTTCACAAAGTGTCATAGTAAGTCTTTTAGTATTGATTAATATGCAGTCTCGAATGAATTGTTTAAGCATTGTGATCAAATGTGTTATTTGGAATTATTCATTAAAAAATTATTCAAAAATGATTCCTATTTCTAGGTGACAGCTTAACATGCTACTTTTGCTTTCCAGACTCCAAATTGATAAGGCTACCAGCACCTGCATTAATTAGTAAGTAAAAGTGGTGGTGAAAAAAAATTAAAACTGGTAAAATGGTTGGTGATTTTTTAACAATTTTCCAGAATCCTTTGCTATTGTCCTAAAGACTTGACTGAAAGAACATGAATTCATCACAAAAAAGAAACTTCTAGTTACTCCATTGGAACCAGATATCCATATTAACCTACAAGGAGCCCACTTAATAAAACCAACCACATTTATGCAGAGTTAAGAGGGATTGAAGCTCTAGAAATTACATTTCTGCAAGAAAATTCAAGAGTATAAACAAAAAAGATATGGAAAACTTCTCCAATGCATGGACATCCTGTTATAACATTCCAAAACTGTTTCCCCTCTACTACATTAAAACAGCACATCTACTTGGCACTGTACATAACTTTTTACCTATTTTATTTTTACCTTTATTATTTCTTATGGATCTGCATATAATTTATTCTATTAATTGTGTTGTATTTTTTCTCTTAATCTATATTTGTTCAAATCATTCATTTAATAGGTTTATATTTATGTATACACATGGAATACTATTTAAATTTGTGTTTCATTCAAAGACCTAAAAGTTTTGTTTTGATTTATGTTCTATTTGTTTGTTCTAAAGATTGTACCTGAAGATGATCTTTAAAACATGGTTGAAATGTTAGTTTTATTAAATTGAATCCTGCCAGAATCACATAGTTATGTTATTTATTGAATAATTGAAATTTATAAAAATTGTTTTATTGCATGAAAATAGTAAAAATTATGATGATTAATTAATTTAATATTAATTTTAGAGGATGTTCTGACTGAAGATAAAGGTGAATGTGTTATATGCTTAGAGGAATTAGTTCAGGGAGATACAATTGCAAGACTACCCTGTTTGTGTATATATCATAAATCGTAAGTATTATTGAATATCTCCATTTAATAATCTGGAAGAATTATTCATTTATTGTTATTAAATTAAATATTGATTTGAATAGAATTTGATACATTAAAAAAGTAATAGATAAATTAATATTTTTAATTCATTTATTACTAATATTGCTTTTAAATATTTACTAATATGGATTCACATTTTAATTTAAATGATTAAATTATCAAGATATGTGAATTCATAAAACTTTTCTGATTTTTTTTAATATTTTAAGCAATATTTTTTAACAAATTAAAAAAATCTGTATGATATACATTTCTGTAATTTCTTGAAAAGAAACTATGGATTATATGTGTTTTAAAGTGGATTCAGGTTATCTGTTGATTTTAAATTGCAATTATAAAGTTATCCAACTTTTATTATTGTGTAACTTACTAAGGATATCTTTTAAAAAACATAAAAATTCTGTATGTGTCTATTAATCTACTGTTGTGATTTTTCTTGTATTTACCAAAGATATATATGTATGCTTTACCTTTACTTTTCTCTTGTTTTCTGTACATCAATCTAAATTTTAATAATATTAGACATTTTTAGTTGAACTTGTATCTTGAAAACTGATAAATTTCTAGTTTTCTTCCTTTACATATAATGAATTTCAGAGAACTATTTAGAAGCCAACTGTCAGTTTTTGTGTATGTTAATTTTCTAGAGTGAATAAGAGGTAAACAATTGCTACTTGAATTGTCATTAGTTATTATAGAGTTGGTGTGCAGTTTTCTTAGTAAAATTAATAATGAGGATGAAAATGACAATTACTTATTGTATATCTATTAGGTAATCGTTTCTGCGAGGAGTCATACCAGTAGCATTGCCCATTGACCTTGTCCCAATTATAGATGCTTTTCAAAAACATCAAGCATACTACAGATATCAATATTAAAAGTTTTTCTGTTTATTTCGATTATTATAACATTTATTATCACTTATTATTATTACAATGTTGGTAGTTTTTGTCCTATACAGCATATATACCAGTACCTAGTGTTATGCCAAACCAAAGTCAAGACATAACTACAGGAAACAAATGTTTTGTTTACATGCTGTTTGTGTATATATCCATGTTTAAGAATTTCTTAACTATTTGACATAATTTTTAGTATGGCCTCTTCATTGACCTCTTTAGGTATATGAGCAGAATAAAGAAAAGAAAGAATTTGAGCCAAATGACTTCCATAATATATCAGTATATCTTTCTGCCATTATTAAAAATTAAATTTTAAATAATTTGGTATTAGAGGCAGGCATTAGGTATCATTTCTTATTAAATTTAATAATTTAATATTTATTAAATAATTTAGAATATTCTGGAAGAAAAGAATCAGCCTGGAACAGGATTCAAACCTGCAACTCTCACTTACTGTGCAGATGTATTGCCAGTTTTCTTCAGAATATTCTTAATTATTTAATTAATATTAAATTATTATAATTATTAAATTTAATAAGAGATGGTGCCTAATGCCTGCCTCTAATTCCAAATTATTTAAAATTTAATTTTTAATAGTAACAGAAAAATAGCTCGATATATTACGGCAGTCATTTGGCTCCAATTGATAACATTGGATTTTGAGGTGTTTATGTATGAAAGAATTTGAATGAGTTTTCAAAAGTTCAATGGCATTTTAACTCAGCTAATGACATTGGAGTGTTCTATATATTAAGAAATTTAAATTGGCCAATATTCAAAGAAAATCTATTTATATTTATAAGATTTATATTCAAATTTCTTTGAATATAAATCTGAAGTATTTATATTTGAATTTCTTTGGATTTGAAATTAGATTAAAAATAGCTTCAAAAACTTTTCATATAGAATTCAAAATTGGATCAAATGAAAATGATATACAAAATGAATATATTACATTACAACCAATTCCTTATCCTTACTGTATATCTTAAGTATATTCAGTAAAGCTTCCAGACTTGTGTAAGACTTAATCTGTCTTTACTGTTAATGCAGCCTCCTATTTGTTCTTGCTTGTAAATTTTTATGGCCTCCAATGTTTTGAGTTTAGATTTGTCAAAAATTGTTTTTAAAAGCTTAGCCACATTCCAGTTTGGTATTACACCTGTTTCACATGCATATTGGTCCAAAGCCATTGTGTACTTCTTTTTCTCAATATCTTATATGTGCTCGTTAATTCTACATGTCAGAGATCTATACGTAGCTCCAGTCAGGCCAGGTGGGTATTAAATCTTCTGTCAATTATCAGAATTTTATATACTTCAGAGGCTCTTAACTTGCTTGTTACGTCTTTTTCATTTGTTGAAAGTTTGAAAACAGTAGTGCCAAGTGTAGGTTATTTTACACTTTATATCTTTGGAAGTTTTAAAGTAGATATTATGTATCTTCAGCTCAAATTCTAACACAATAGTAACCTGCCCAGTATCTTTATTGCAATCTACCTTTTATTGTCCTTCCTCTATGGCTTATGATACAATCAAAATCATACCAGAGATATATCTGTATTATTTAGCTGTTATCTTGATATACTCCAATTCACACTACATGTCATCTGATTGGGAACAGTGGATATAAACCCTTCTTATAAGAGAGTTGAAGGCTGCTGTTTTGTATTTCCAAAGATAGCATGAATTAGATCGTTTTAGTGCTGGTAGGTATGTTGTTTACAGAATATCCTTGTACTTATGCTATATCCCTGATGTTTACTTCCTAGATCCAGGTGATCATCTCATGTTTAGGATTTACAATGACGGTTCCATTTCAGGTGACGATGTGGATGATGCTTTTTACTCCAACTTAGGCCACAAACTTCACAATGCTTGCTTCCGTCTAGATACACACTGCTCAATAGCAAAGGAGGAAACTTTAGCTATTTATATGAGCTTAATTCACATTAGGTGTAGGAAGGACAAAAGACACTATTTACACTATCCCATTTATTCTGACAGTAGGGTAACTTTACACAGGATTGTGAAGTCTGATAGCCACTTAAAACTTGTCCATCTCATACACCACATTATCAGACAACAACATTAATATAGATTTCCAATGGATCCTGGGTCATATGAGGAATGTTGGCAACGAGACCACTGATTGTCTTGCCAAATAAGCTGTAAAGTCTTCAGTCACCAGTATTTTCAGTTATATTCCTAGCTCGTACATCAACAATCATGTCAAGAAGCAAATCTTCATTCTCTGGCAAGACAGCTGGGACCATTACACCACTGGTAGGCTCACCTACACTTTTATCCCCAAGGTTGACACTATTGCAATTCCTCGCCACTTTTACCCTAGTTACACCCTCACTCAGCTACTTACAGGACATGGCAACTTTAAGCAATACTTTGTGTGTCGCCATTCCATTGACTGTTGCTTGGACTCAGGAGTCATGTGAGACACCCAAGTCTCATCTCCTGTAACGATGTGGTCCAACAATTCATCTCCTTCCTGATGGTATTGAGTCAAAAACAATAAAGCACTGCCCAATCTTTTTGTTTTGTGATTATGAGAAAGCAGTCTTGGAACCCACTGAGAACACAATTTTCAATAATTCATAGTTTCTCCGAAACAATGGTATACAAAACTGATCTTGAAACCTGTGGAAACTCAATTTATAACATTTAAATTGTAAATTGTCAGTCCTCTCGAATTTTGTTATCCACATCACGAATCAAATCTTCAGAAATCAGAGAAGGTCGGCCAGGGCGTGGCTCATCATGCACATTAACCCGCCCATTCATGAACATTCTCATCCACTTTTGAACTTTACTGTCATAGCATTATTACTGTAAACTTCACAAATCTGATGGTGAATTTCTGCTGCTGCCAAGTTTCTTGCACTCACACTCAAGAATCGAATAACAGATCGAATCTCAGTCAGTGGGCAACTCAATTTTCTTAAACATTATAAACTTCTACAGCTCATCATACAGGCAGATGATATGGCTGCAAATGGTGTCTAAATGTGCACCAAGCTTGCTTGGGGCAGACGCACATGCGTACTGCTGTGATTGTAAATCAGTTATGTTTGTATTATAGTACAGTATTATAGTATCATTCTCATCACACAGTATCATTCTCACTCTCATTCACAAACAGACCTTATTTAAAAAATAGCCCTTGTATTTTTTTCTGTTTGAAGTTTTCTATGGGTTTGTGCTTTTTATATTCAGTAATTTAATTAATGATTATTCATTACTAAATGTGCATGTTCATAAAAAACAGATGTAACTGTAATTCAATATATAAGTACTGCAAATATTTGATAGTGATTATTGATATTTGATCTATTTGCCAATATGTTAAATAATTTTTTGGTTTTATTTGAACATCCATGCAAATGACATCTATGTAAATATTAATATTTTATTAAAATAATGGCAATTAACAATGTTTTTAAAAAACAAAATTGGAAAATAAAAAAAATCTTTAATTATATTTATGAAAATTTCAATTATTTAAATATATAATAATTGTAATTAAATAAATTTATTAAAATATTTTTACAGTTGCATTGATGCATGGTTTGAAGTGAATCGATCATGTCCCGAACATCCATTGGACTAACAGTGCAATCAGTAATAATAATAATGAAAATATCATAACTGGATAGAAGAACATTATTTAAGTGAAAAAAATGTAAAGTGTAAATAATAGTTGAAAAAAATGGCTATATTGATGCATTTTTTCTGCATCAGTTTTAATGTCTGCAAATTTTCAATCAAAATATATGTTATGAGTGGTATTCTGCATCTGTTTGCTTGTCACCAATATTTGTGCTGAAGCTGTGCCTTTCTGAAAACAGCAGTGAGATGATAAAATTATACTTGGAAGAAATCTTGTGATAAATCATAGAGCAGTTATAGAAGTTCCTCTAGTTTTGTATGCACCCGTGGACAGATATTCCTTTTCTACACTGTTCCTTTTGATAAAATATCAACATCTTCCACCCAAATCAGTTTTCCAAGTGAAATGGAAAACACTAAATGACAGGTAGAT